ATACGGTCGAACGAATATCGAGACGAACGAAAGCGTGTCAATGCCGTTCCACGATGATTATTATCGATCTGAACCACTGCACGAGAAATCTACATATTACATATTCCGTTTATGATTTTATTTTTTAATGAATTCATCACGTTGAAACGAGTTATACCCTCTGCTTACTCTGATAAATGATCTTTTAAACTGAATAGATATCGCTCTGTATATCGATGAACAATTTTTTTACTCGAAACTAGAGAAACATGATAATCGCGATAACTTGTACATTTCTGAAAACGGAAGCGTAATCTTTCTCAAGTCGATAATAAAATTTCAATTGTTATAAACGAACGATATTAATTTATAAATTATGATAATAACAAACGACTATAAATAATTTTTAAGAGGAATAAATGAAAATTTATATAGAGCTTTTGAAAAAAGTAAATTCAATTTTCTTATGGACTGAAATGTCTGGGAGAATAATTTTCAAACTCCAGATGAATGTAATTCATATATCTAAATTTATGAATAAAAAATATTTTAGAAAATGATCTTATTTCTAATTACTATATAAATATAATTTGATTTTTATTATAAACGGTATATAAAAATATAGATATAAATACGATAGGATGACTCAGAGAGTAAATTTATGCTTTCGAAATTGCCCGAGGGAGAGTTCCTCGTATTGTGTGGAAATAGGGGGTTCACGAAATGCAGAGAGGAAATTCACCCCGAGGATAAAGGACAAGGGTGAATCGAACCCGCCAGTTGCGTTGGGGTGGAATAGACCCAGACCCAGCCTTTGGTCAATTTACAAGTTGCGGAAGCGAGTCGTGACACGCGAAACTGTTGTTTGTCATGTAATGAAGGGGTTAATTATCACGCATGAAACACAGGTGAATCGTTCGAAAATGCGAGGGAAAAAAATATGATGTACGTTTAATTCTTCTTTAATTTATAATATGAATTTACAAAGATTAAATTACGTATTGTTATTTTCTGAAATATTAAAAAAAAAGGCGTGTTTAAATTAAATTAAATAATTTGTAAATGAAAAGTTTGAACGTTTTAAATATTTCTCTTCTGTATTTATAATTACATATCTTGTTATTTATGAATAAATTTATGAATATTTATTAAAATTAAAATTCTTCTCATGAGCATGTCTATAGAAATGGAATTGAGATAAAGGAATCTGCTTCATATCATAATATGTATTTTACTCTGGATATTTTTATATATTTTTGCATATCTTTTGCATATCAATTCTATAAAATTTTTTACATTTCAAATTCATAAATGCATAAGGATCCATAGTCTATTTACGAATATATTTAATATAAATATAATAATATAAATACTGGCAAACGAAAAATAATCATTCTCTTCTGATCTAAATAAATTCATCGATTAATCGTGCAAACATATTTTAATAACTTAAAATAAATATAAATGTTACACGTTTCTCAGTGTGTGCGTAATTTTTCAATTGACATTCTCTTTGATCATAATCCACAGGAATATCCAGTTAAACAAGAAACGCTTTTAAAAAAGAGAACGTGTTGTCGTAAAGTATCGGTGAATTTTAAGAATCGCTTTGTAAAACGAAGTCATAAATAAAAAGGGGAAGCCATTCACCTCGACATTAATTCTCGCTACGGAATAATAAAAGTCTGTAAGAGGCAACAAAGAACGACATTTTAAATAGTCGACGTTGGCCGAGTAATTTCGCCGACTAGGGAGGTGCCAACCCTTATTTCGCTACTGCCAGGAGAATTTTAACGAGATTACCGAACAACTTTCTTTGTTCTTTCGTCACGAAAACACATTTTTAATATATGCGCAAAACATCGAATTTCAAAGGGGAATATTATGACACGTGTAAGAGCTTTTTTTTTGTGTTTTGCTCCAAATTTTATCGTTATATTTAAATTTGAAATTTTCTTAGGAAATTATGGTCCAACGTATATATAAATGATGTATATATATATATAATAATAAATTTTGCAAATTTATACGAAGCTAATACCTTTTAAAAAATATACACAAATATACTGAAATATCGAGAGAATTTAATATTTTTTACAGATAGAAACTCTTCGTTTCGATTAATCGAAATGAATTATCGATAATTCTGAGAGAATGGATCGTATATTTAAAAAAATCACGTGTGTTCGCCATTCAAAAATAAAATTTTCGAAAACTATCTCACAGCTGCCTCTATTACGTAGAAGCCGAGCTATTACGTTTTCGTTTCACAAACCACATTCCACCACTTCCATCGTTAAACAAAAACTCGAACGCGAACGATTGCACGTGAATCGTTTTCCTCGATCAGAAGCAAAATCGTCGCGTCACGGTGCCCATTGGATAACCACCATGGAAAATAAAATAAAATTATAAATATGATCGTGTAAGAAAGCGTGTACTACGAGGTTGTTTATAGAGAGCAGAGAGTTATTCCTAAAGAAAAAACAATAAGCATAGAACAGAGAGCGTGGGTGAAGATTCAACAGGAGTATCATCAACACGTGTCCGTGTTCCGGACACCTCTCTTCCACGATAATTTACCAGCTAATAATACCGATAAATTGACAAGCAACGAGTTATGAATATTTTCACGATTTCACAGTCAAAGAGGAATGATCAAATCATTTCTCAATTTTTTTTTTTCTTTACCTGTTTCAAAACTCCGCTCGCTTCAAATCTAACATCATTCTACCTATATATAACAATTTTTTCAATACCTCGTAACGTATCACTTCTACAATAATTTGCCAACAATATCATTCCAAATGTTCAATCTTCTCGAAAGATCGTCAATCAAGGATAAATCGATCAATTTTACGACAATGTTAACAAAATTACCAAACATCATTACACTTACATTATTACTTTCCGTCCTGTTAAAACTCGCAAAAAAGAAAAAGATAATTATTCCAAATCATCCATTATCCATCTTGGTCACCTATTTCACACGGTCGAAAGGATTGATATCGCTCACCTCTTTTCTTTCTTCCCTCGACGCCCTCGAGAACGAGCAGAATTCCAACAACGACGACCGCGAGATTTCGTTTCCCCAATGTAACTCGGTCGTGTATCAAAATAAACCGTGAGGATAAACGCGTGAACGTCGCACACTGTCTACACACGTTGCCGGTCGGCCCGACACTGATCGTATACTCGCTACTTGCTGCGTGGCTTCGCAGCGGGAGCGGAACTGCCAGTGGGGGGTAGGCGGCGGAAATGGAAAGGCGAACGGCTAGAGAAGGGAAAATACGGGGTGTTTCTCTCGCCGATCGAGCCTCCCAAAGTAGTTTTTAAACACGGTGACGATGACTTTTGCTTTTGTTTCACGTGCAGGAAGGGGATCCCTGAAAAAAGTTGATCGAGTAAGATAGGCGTCCCGTGTTCCGTTTATTTTATTCGATAATATAAAAATGTGCGTAAGGAATATGGTGGATGAACAAATTAGAATTTTGGAATTTATATATTGGACACCGATATCGATTTAATCGTTTAGTCTCTGATATTTTGAAAATTTAAATCTTATGTAAATGTAAGCAATGACGTTACAATTGACTTGAATTCGAGGGAAATTAATAACGATCTCGTCTTTATTAAAATGTAATTTGTAATGGATAAAACAATCGATTAAAATTTCTCAATTAAGTTAGAATCAAGATTTATACGTAGAGAATCATATAGATTAGATATTTAATTTAAGTTTAAAAATTAAAGTGTAAGATAAAAATCGTCGACACCAGAACATCGTGTATATAGATAAGGATTTATTATTATATAGAAAAATTTGACGAAAAAAAATATCGAACCTGCGTGCGTAACACGATGACCACTTGATTGGTGCATTTCCAGGGGTCGTTCCACGAGATTATTGAGGAATTTATCGCGGATGAAATTGCGTCTTTCTTCCCTTTGCGATTATTAAATAATCGCGTTTCAGATTCTGTACATATAAAGGCACAAAGGAAGGAGTGAAGCAATCGTAATTTCCGCGTGTGGAAAATTGTTCGTTTATCTCGAGACTTGAATGTTATTGAACGATTATTGAATTTTTTATTTTTTTTTTTTCTTAACACTTGCACAGACAGAGACATTGTTGATTATTAATAGGAGCTAGGAATATGGATATCGATCTTGAACTGTTCGACCATTTTGCTCCATTATTATGGTCGGCTTTTATGGTATGGTTAGTTGTGGTTTTATTTGGATCTTGTTACCGGGGATTATCTAGTGTATAGTTGGTTAATTTGCCGATAAATTATTCCGTTTCATCGTTAAAGTTCGTGTAACGCATTAACGTGCTGAAAATAAGTTGGCATTTGAAGACACAACAACAGAATAACAGGATCATTAAGTTGTTCCTAATATTAGATTTATTACGGAGCAAAGATTCGAATATTCAAAAAGTTTGATCGAGAAAAATTCAATTCTCTAATTTTATTTAGTCTTAAAGAATCGTCGATTTATTTCTCACCTTTGATTTTTAAGTTTTTCATTTCTCCAATTTTTGAAGTTATTACAAAGTTATAGCCGATCAATGGATCAATTAAACAGGAAGAAAGGAAGAAAATTGACAAGTTCCACTTTGTGGTTTCCATTTATTATTGGATTGGTGAAGCTTCGGGTTCCTTTTCAGAATTTCAATTCGCTCCAATATCGAATTATTCCGACTGACAATTCGCCTGTTGATTGCTTGTAATAATATATTAGAATCACTAGAAATTATTTTAAAATATAAGAAGAAGATTATAGATAAAATTTGTAACACGATATCAAACCTGATAAAGATGCAACGAAAATTGTTCGAAGCGTAGATTTTATCGTTTCAAAAAGATCACAGCCATCCTATACTATATTTGAATAATATTTTAATCGATAGATCGTCCCTATAGAAACCGCGAGCGATTTCTTTATACATAGATTAATTTTTTAATTTTAAAAAACACTCGCGAAAATACATCGATACACGCTTAAAAATATGTATATATATATATATAATTTCACGCTCGATCGTTTTTCCTTTTTTTGCCGTTGTGCGCGTGGTGTACGATAATTTCAGCAAAAAATACCACGATCGACAATAAGAATCCAATCACCCCTATGTAAATCAAATTCCACACGAGCGACGATTCGTATAAATTTCGTTTAACAGCGCGCGCCTTTTTAGGAAAGAATTTCCCTATGAAATCGTAATGCCACTTCTTACGAATACCTGCCGCCTCCAACCTCGATATGATCGTGTCGAATTTGCTCCTGAACGGCGATCGCTTCCTCAGAAAATACGTCGCGTGTGGTTCGGCGTAGCACAAATTTCTGCACACCTTCATAGTGGCCGCATCCTTCTTTGCCTGAGAGTAAATCAACGCGTTTATCCCTCTCAACTCCATGAAACAGGTTACGTTTCTGTATCGAGACAAAACGTCGGTGCAATTTTCCATGTCCTCGTCGGGAATTGCCTTCCTCTTCAACGAATTAAAGGCTTGGTTGTCTGTGAAGAAAGTGACGTTGAAAATCATGTGAAGGACGACAGGAGTCAATCCAGATTCGTCCAGATCTTCGTAACTCTTGTACTCGGTCTCCATCGTGTCCGCCATGCTCACGGTCGTCAAATCGACGTAAAGATTGGCAGAGTACATCATCGATGCCAACACGACGACGAAGAACACGATCCTCTCCGACGTTTTGCCCGGCCTTACCGATACGCTAGCCGCGATCAAGATCCCGAATATCTTCAACGGTTGCCACAATTTCTTCTCGAACTTCAACAGGACCGATATGGCCCAGAACGCGAGGAGGATCGCGATATTAGCGATTATAGCGGCGAAAGCTCGTAACTCGAGAGTGTTGACTTTATACGTGATCGGTACAACAGGGCACCACTTCTCGTACTCGTAGGGCAACGTGTGGTCTAGCAAGTCGAAACGCGGGTCGGGAAACAACGCTAGTTTCGGTATTATGATGTCCAAGTTGCCGTTCATCAAGCTCGTAAGTGCGTCGTTGTTGGGCATCATCACAACGGTGAAGTTCATGGTGCGTGCAAGCGTGTGTAGGAGATTCACATCGGGCCCCTTGTACTTGATGGGATAGGTTCTCGAATCGACCGTCAGATTTACGTATCCTTCTCGTTCCAAAATGGTGGCGCGGAACGGGTAACCGTGCAAATCGATCATCTTGTTGGGAAACCAGTCGAGAGTTGAGGCGGGGTAGGATGTTCGATCGTATATGTCGGTGAAAGGATTGTATCGATGAACGTTCATGGCGATAGAGCGTTTGTCGGATTCGGATAACTCTAATACCGCCATGTCGATCAACTCGTCGTACCAGATCTGCTTTAAGAATGCCTCGAAGTTGCAGTTTCTCTCCTCGAGCTTGGTTATCAACAATACTTTCGATCTGTTCTGGCAGTGCTCTATGAAACGCGCGATATCCTCCGTTCGACGGCGATCCGGGAATTCTTTCGCCACGTACGAGTATAAGATAAGCGTCGACTCGGTCGCGTCGATATCTGGTAATTCGATCGGGATCGAATCGTTGAAGGAAAGGAAATTGGTCGGTATGGCACGCGATACGGTTTTGTAGATCTCGCCGATTAACTCGAGATCGTCCAACGGATCACAGCTGAGAGAATTTTGAACGACGAATAAAACGTTTAAAAATTGGCTCGTGTCCAGAAGATCTTTGACGGATCGCTCGATGATCGGCAAGTGGTACAGATAATTCATTTGTTGAAGGGTTAACAGGTATATCGGTAGAATCATTTTTGCAACGTTTCTTGATTGAATAATTTCTAAAAGAATTACGATTATTACGGATGATTATTACATTTTCTTTTTTTTTTAAATAAAACGATATTGTACTTACTATGTTTTTCGAAGTGGCAATTGAGGATAAGTTTTTTTAACGATCGTTCGAAGAATTAAATGGAAGACTTGGGAAAGCCGTTAAGAAGCAAACACGATGAGGAAGTGACAACTGAAAGCATCGTTCCTTTTCTTGTTTTCATTCCCTCGTGTGAAAATTTCATTTATCTTAAGTGCAATAATAACATAGTACATAGATAGTGCATAAATGATGAGGTATCGTGCGACGTATAAAACACGTGCAACCGTATATAGCTTAATAGTTTGATATTCATCGAATGCTTTTGTATATCTATCTAGAAAAAACATTTTACAGGTAAGTTGTATTAATTTGTATAAATGGCGAGAAAATATTTCATCGGTAATCTTAAAATCTATTGCATTAAATAATTTTTTTTTAGAAAAAAAATAAACATTCTAACTCTCTATTTTTACCAATCAAAATAATTTTAAATAATTCGTCGTTTAATTCGTTTGCTTTTGTATTCTTTTACACACGATATCGTAGTATCGATGTTTTCACATTATTTACACGTCCGATTATTGATATTAAAAAAAAAAAAAATGGTTAAAATCGATAAAGCATATGTAGCGAAACTTACATTTAATAGAGCTCGATGAAGTTTAATAATAAGTATAAACAATGTCACTTTCAGCGAGAAGAAAATTGATTATGATATCATATTCGCTTGTTACTTTAATTAACTTGCAATTATCTTGTAGATAATGTTTAAAATAATAAAATGTTTCTTTTTCAATTAGTCGTTAATACTGCTGCTTAATTAAATACAATTAATATATATAGTCTCATTAATGTATAATCGTAAAATCAATATCAATTAAAAGAAAAGAAATTAAGTAAGTTCAAATTTAAAAAGAAGAAAATGTAAGAAAGGAATCGAGAGAATTGTTAAAAATTTAAAATATAAATAATCATCTAAAATAAGATTTGTCATATTTCCAATATAGAACTATTATGTCATTAATTATCTTTTACAAAATCGTTCAAGTTGCATTATGTCATTTTCTTTTGTATTAAACTTTAAATTTTTTTCACGTATTTCTGACAACCTCGTACATCGATTATACGAATAAATTTAAAGAAAAATAATCGAACTACTTATTATCAAAAGGATCATTATTTACGATAATTCTGAAAAGATTTCCATTACTAAATGGAAAAACTTTTTTTTTTTTAAATTATTTCAAGTGATTAGAAGGATTTTTTTTATTAATAGGTTTCACTTAAAGATAACATGGAGGCGGAATATTCAATTAGCCATGACAGTATCTTCCATTTATCGGTAATTCGCATTGCAAAATGTAAATTTTATTGACCATAGCCTAGAAATAACATATGATCCTTGACGCTACATTATCCTCGCCAATTATAATAACTTCATTGGCAATAATCTTTTATTAACCTCTTTCAAATAATTCAATGGTGCCGCCAAATTAACATCTTATCTTCTCGAAATTGTTTGCTTCTAATTATGAAAAAAATAGATTGAAGGTCGTCATACGAGAGACGTTAAAAATATATCGAGTCCAGATTTAATAATTTATAACACATTCGAAATAATTAAGATATCGTATTATCAACATTCACTTTTGAATTATTTAAATACCTTTGTAATTTGAATCCACATCGATTACCAATCGTTTAATCCTTCATTTAGAGACGAACTATTGTAATTATTATTTTTCTTTCAAAAATCGATAATAATAAACGAAGTAAAAAATAATATATATATACAAATACAATTAGTCGTTTATTTACTCATAATTTATTCGTAGATGAGTTTCGATTACAAGTGAACGTACAAAAAGAGGCGAGATTCGAATTTTAATAAATACGTTCATTAAGCATATTAACATAGAAACATGATAGTCTTACGTCGTGAAAAGTATTCGTAAAAATTGGTAAATTAATTGAAAAGTTCGAAGCGAAGGGCGATAAATTGTACAATCGTTACTTTTGTTCAATAAAATCGCGATTACGGACGATTATTAGGAAAAATGATAATATAAATAATATTCTACTTATCTCGAGTACATATTTGTGACGTATAAACAAATGAGGATGATAATAAACAACGATAAATGTATAAATTACGTATGTATGTATGTATGTATAAATTACGTATAGAGGAGTAAAACTAATATTAATTGAACATACACGTTTCCACGATCCGAAAGCGCAGCGTAATTTTTTTAGCTATTCTTGCAATTGTTTTCGATTGTTCGATTTATTCAATTGTCATTAAATTTAAAGCTATAATTACGGTTAATTCGATACTTGTGTTAAGGTGTGTAAATACGTTTGAGAGTAAAACGTGTGGAGAGTGATTATCGATAAGTTAATTTCGATAAAATTACACAATCGCTCTTGAACATATTCTCAAAGCTGTGTGTTGGAAAAATATTTTTCCACAGGGGAAAGATTTCGTAAGTTTTACTCTCAAATGCCTCCGCTTTCTTGTGATTCACGTATTATGCGTTTATTCTTTTTAAATTACGAATAAAGAGAACATATATATATATACGTATACCGTTCTTTCTATTCCCTGATGAAGATTAAAGAGAAGCATGAGAGAGTAAGGAGAACGAAATTGGGCAGAGAAATGGCGACACCGTTCCAACAAATTTTCATATCGCACTGTTTGAGAACAGGATTGAACTTTTGCTTCAGATATTCCCAATCGCAGAGACCCACGTGACATTCGTCGAGCATGACCAATTTTTCGGCCAGGTAAAACATCACTTTGTTCGGTTGGTCGCTAGCCTCGCATCTAGCGTGAATATGAAAAATAAAATAAAATGTTTTGAGTCCAAGTATGAGGATTTCGTTCTTTGCTCTTGTACAAATATTTTAATTACTTCAAACAGATATATCTCCGTTCCACCTCGGGCGATTTTCGTTTAACGAGAATAATTATGTTTTTTTCTTATAATTGTCTCGCTATCCTTTATATGCAAGGATATTTTTTTCTTCCAATTAATTTTATACGTATATAGAGGGAGAGCGAGATGATAGAATCATTAGTACAAAGAAAAAAATCTTTCTTATTAATTTCTTATTAAATAGAATTCTCGAAGTGAGAAAAGAGTATAGCTTTATCGTTTGTGATAAAAAAAAAAAAGAAAAAGAAAAAATTATAATTTAGAATTATAAATGGGGAAATTCTTACTTGTAAAATATAGCGACAAGATTTGCTGCGAAAGACGATATGAAGGATGTTCTCCATTGACGTTTCGCCATTTCCTTGTAATTAAAAGCCGTCAATTGCATTTGATCTTTATTAATGTTCAATGTTGTCAGAAGATTCAGCAGACTTATAGTATCGCTAAAATAGAATACGCCTTTGGGGTGGTTCGACTCGTTCGATTCGTTCTCCTGTTCCACTTTCCTAAAACATATTCGAATTCGAAATATATAATTTCAAAGAATACTTATATATCCATTTAGAAATTTAATCAAAAAATTAAGAGAGAGAGAGAGAGAGAGAGAGAGAAGGAGAAGATTACCAAAAGTGATTCATCATGTCTTGCAAAAGCGTGCATCCTAGCCGAGCATTGATTTCACGTCCATATCCGGCTTTGTAATAATAGTAGAGATCCTCGCGATACTCGAGTACATGAAGTTCCTCTTTGCTGAAAACGGCACACCAAGGAGAGAGTTGCGTCACTGTCCACGCCTTTTCGTAACGGCACATATCGTACATCGTTAGAATCGAATCTAGAAAAAAAAAAAAAAAAGAAAGAAAGAAAAATAATGGCGCTCGAGAAAACCGAGTTCGAAACGAGAGCGCCTAAAATTCTGAAATATGTTTCTCTGTTTGATTCTAACCTTTGGAAATGTTGTACAAAAATCCGAGGCGTCGGCTGACGTTCTCCACGAGATTTCTGAAATCTTTGCCCTGCTCGAAGGAGATTACCTCGTCGTAGGAAATGTTGTTGTATTCCCACGAATCGCACGTTTTGTACATCTGTCAATTATAATAGCATTTTCTAAACTAAATTTTTATATTGCAAAATTCAATATTGTTCAAATATTTCATTGATCATTAAACGGTACCAATTTAATCTTTAAGAGTACGTTTAAAAAAATATTTTGAATCGTTATTTATGTTATTACACATAAATTTCTAATATTATTATATATTCGTACCAATGATAATAACTGATCGGATGATTAATCGACGAAAATAGAATATAATTCGTTTCTATTTAATTAACATAAATGTATTACACGTTTAATGTAATTACCGTGAGCAAAGTGTCATTTTCTGGAACTTTTTCCACCTGCACCGCGTTTCTATCCTTGAACAATCCCTCCATAAACGCGCCCAAACTGTTATGCGCATCGGATTCTTTGAACTGAAATAAATCAATCAAATAAATTAATAAAATCGATAAATGGTTAGTTTTTTCCTTCACATGGCACACGTGATACGTTTATTACCGTACCACGTAATCTTGGTCGGTAATGTTCTCATTACTGTTCGGTTGCAGAAGACGGGGAAAACTACTTTGCAATCGTCTCGCGAGCAACCTCATATCCTCCACACCCTGTGGTGCCAGAACTTTCGCCCGCTCGAACACGATATACTCCCTCGGCTTCCATTTTTTCAAATTGTCTAAATCTTTGTTGCACATGTGTCCATCTGTGGGAAAGGAAAATGGAAAAATGAAGATTATAAAAAAAAATTGCACTGCATCTCTTCATCGGTTGAAAATTATAAAATTATAAAAAGAAATAAAAGTTATAAAAGAAATAAAAGAAAATTCAGTCTTTTCCAAGCTAAACGGTTACAGGTATAAGTAAGTAGTTAAGAATCGAGTAATAGAGTTCGAAGAATTTTAAAAATTTAAAAATTCGTTCTTTGTGAAAAAAAAAAAAGAAAGAGAGAAAATATTCAAACTTAGAAAAGTTTCCAGAATTTTAAGAATTGTAAAAAGAATTGTACAAAGTAGTTTCGAGCTCGAGTAGTATCGTAAATCAAGTTTCGATCCATTTCTAGTATTTTCGAAAGATTAATGATTCGAGATTAGATGTGTTCCAATTCAAAGGAGGTTAATTCATGCGTGGACTCGATAAATCTAAGGTTAACTGTTGGAAATGTGCTTATTGATTAACACGTAAAACGACGTATAGTGAAGATCGATACGAAAAAATGTCAATGACCTGAATTTGCGTGCAACTTTATGCTCGCATTTGATTTAATGGGAACACCTTTTTCTCGAAACTTTTTCGATGAATAATAAAATACACAATCGCGAGCTAAATATTAAAAATTTCAACTGTGCCTCTCTGCGGAGTTTTATATATCTTTCCAAAGATCGTTCTTTGTTTTTATTAAAAAGAAAAAAGAAATAGAAAATTATACTCACTGTTTCGTGATTCGTGATTGTTAATTATTTGAGTTTGAAGATCTGTTAGTTTGAGCATTTCGATGATTTCTGACTCTTCTGGGCATCGTGTACCATGCGTAACGAGCATCCAAATTTGCTTTGCGTGGCAATCTGCGGAATAGATTTTAAATTTTTTAAATTTACATGCACAATATTTATAAAAACTATTTTAATTATCATTGTCAAAGAATTTAAAGAAGATCGACAAAATATCTTGAAGTACGAAAAATTTCAAAATTTCACAATAAAAATTTAAATTAATTTTGCCAAAAATTAGATCGAGCGTTGAGAATAACATATATTTTAATTTATCATTGTACTTACTAGGCACTTCTTGAAACCGGTCTTTGTGATAGACAAAATGGTAGGCAGTTTTAGTGCCCATGTATAAATACGGATCATTCTCTTCTTTAAAACAGTAATCAATATCACGCGCGTAAACATGATTAATTAATAAAGTCAGGAATAGCAGGTATGCGTTCATTTTGAAGCTTCACCGTTGAATCTGCGAATCGAGATTAAAACGTATCCTTTAAAATATTCCAATGTTATAAACTGTCGAAGATTTTTCCGCGAAAAATTCATCAAAAAATTTGTGTAAAACGAAATCTACGAAATTGACCATTAGCAAACTTTGTACGGAAAAATCTAGGACACTTTGTGTATAATTTCTTTGATATTTTCAATTATTATTATTATTAATATCTACTTTGACAATTACATATTTAATATCAGAAATTTTAATACGGAAATACAGTTTCGTATTGTCAACTGGCAAAGAAAGACAACTGGGAGGATCGAACACGTTCTCTTCAACTCTAAGAACTCGTAAAACGGTTTTGTTTCATTGTGGTACAGCGTGCAGTAAACCTACATTTTCCTGTGCTGATGTCACATGTCACTTTACTACCGACTTCACAAATTACTAACTATAGCCAATTATATGTAAAATAGATCTTATGTAACCGATTTGTATCTTTCATTTATTATTTAATCTTATATAAATTCATCGTATATACGCAATATGGAAAATTCAACTTTTCGATCGCGATCGACGAAGATTTGACGATACGATCGTTGAAATCTTCTTCGAACTATGATATCCCTTTAAAATTTTGCGTTAGAAAATTAAAATATCCTTAATTTCCATTTCGTTCTATCGGCGTTCCATTCTTAAAAATCTTTCTCCTCGAGAAGAATCAAACGTTGCACAGATAGGAATATCTCTCGCACCAAGGTTAAGGATAAACGTGTGCACGTTTGTGAATGTGCAAGTTAAGATGTGTTCACGCATCTCATTATTGCATAATTACGGAGAGAAGACGCAATAAACAGATTTCTCAAAAGTTTCTCCAGTCCCTCGTGTTTACTATTTTTGCAATTGGGTTCGAAACCTTTTTCATCCGTTTTTGGATCCATCTTTCTAATTTAAAATCCAAAGGTGTTAATTCTTAAATCCCATTTCTGTTTAAATTGCGTGTTAAATAAAATTGCGAAAGATAAACGAATCACGTGATATTTTTCCACGAGGAAAATAATAAAAAAGAGATAAGAAAATATAAGAAAAAAATTTTCAGATAACGTTCAAATTATTCGAATATTGGATTTTCATGATAATCATCGAACGAATAGAATCGAAGCGAAATCGGTGGAATAAAATTTTTTCAGGAATCATTAAGAACCTATGAAGGCGGGATTGCTGTTAAAAAGAGCAGTTCAAGAGTAAGTAAGTAAGTTGACGATAACGCAATTGGTAGTGGTTAGATTAGCAAAGCCTTCTTTGAGTCTAATAAGTCTACTTGGCCTACTTATAGTTAATGCCTTGTGTCCGCGAGTACAAAGCGTCGTGTATGCCTGGTACCGAGATCTGATTCTTCCGGAATATTTCGCCTATTACGTTATTCTTATATTTTTCCCCTTATATTTCGAACAATTAATTTCTTCTCGAAATCATCAAATTTTCGATATCCCATCTAAGTGCACGTGGAAAAGAATACATCTCAATTTTCACAAGGATATATATTTTTGTATAAATCTATTTTGATATATCAGACTTTTACTATTTTCATTATTCGAAAGGAATTCAAAGGATGAGTTAAAAAGTAAGGAAAACGTTACGTTAGAAAATTTAAAGATGTAAAATATCCAAACAAAAATACATTTTATAGTACTTGAAGAGTGAATACTTTTTGGATCTTTATTTCAATTTCTGTAGCTGTATATATATATAAATTAAATTTGCATAAACATCCGCGTTCACGATCATTACATTTATATAAATCTAATAATGTAACTGCTGTTAAAAATTTTTTCCAATCCTTGAACGAGTTAATACTGTAATGGATTATTTATGTAACGCCGCATAATGATAGGAAATAACGAAATAAGCGAAATAAATTTTTCAGACAAAGAGACATCTGGTACTTTATTACGAAGTTAATTGCACCATCATCTCTTCGCCCGATCTGTCCAATATGAATCATAGCGGAGAAGATAATAAAACAGACTGTCGTCGAATAAATAACGTCGATAATTTGTATTTGTTAATTGCGAGCAAAAGTAGAACGTGAATGTCACGGTTGCTGATTTCATTATTGTTTAACTATTTAATCATTCAGAGACGAGTTTATTTATTCAAATGAAATTCCTGCTAGATAAGCATTCCATTGAAAATTGAACGAAACGAATTTCATCCCAGTACTGTTCTCACGACCTACCTCACTTTACTTCAATTAAAACCTTATCTCTTGTTATATGTCGTGTCATAAAAAGGAGAGAGAGAGAGAGAGAGAGAGAGAGAAACGAGACGTAAATTAATTAAAATTGAATTA